TCTCAAGTGGAGCTATTTTCTTTCTGTAACTGAGGAGCAAATCTCACAGCTCATAATTACCCTGTGGTTTTCTAACCGACACTTTACCTGGGGTGCTTGACAGAGCCTAGAGGCAGGCGCGCGCGCGTGTGTGTGTGTGTGTGTGTGTGTGTGTGTGTGTGCACGCGCGCACGCATGTAGATGTGCTGGGGGTGAGGGGGTGAGAAGGTGGGGAAGGAGAAGTCAGACCACATGAGGCTTTCCTGATGTTTCAACTTGAAATCTGCATAGCAACCGCAGGCCTAGGGGAAGAGGAGCGTAAAACTGAAAGATGGAACCCCCTGGTTATTAGCTTCCCTGCTTGGCTTCCAATGAGTGTCCCCAGGGGACCATGTGCTCCTCAGTAATGAGGAACCGCGCTGGTTGTGGAAGCCTCCGAGGCCAAGCATGCAGCCTCCCAGGGCAGAGCTCCGGAGCTCGGCACCTCGTGCGTGGGTTCGTGAGTGGTGAAGGGCTGGGTGGTCATGCTGCATCATGGAGGCAGGACACATCTGGAAGCAGGAAAACCTGCTGTGGATGGTGAATCGGGAGTGTGGGCCCTGCACGTCTTCTGGGATTTGTCCTTGGCTTCTGGGCTCGCGGTCCTGGGCAAATAGTGAGTCCATTCACTGAGCAAACCACTCACTCCGGCCTCTTCTCAACCTGAGCAATTAGTTGTTTAAAGTGCATTTTAACTTTTTAACCAGGAGCTTTGTTTGAGCTTCTTCCAAAAGCCTCCCTCCTCAAGGTCTGCTATCACACCACTCAGTTCTTTCTCTTAACTCAGTGTCTTGTGTTTCGGTCAACAGACCCTTACTGAGGACCTACTGGGTGCTCCATCTAAGTCCACGACAGTTTCTTCCTTGCAGGGGCTGCTTGTGGGAGGTTCCAGCAGGGTGCAGAACACACAGCAAGAACACCAATTCCTCACTAATCATCCAAGAAATTCAAATCAAAACAACAATGAGGTACCATCTCACACCTGTCAGAATGGCTATCATCAATAAATCAACAAACGATGAGTGCTGGAGAGGATGTGGAGAAAAAGGAACACTCGTGCACTGCTGGTGGGAATGCAGACTGGTGCAGCCACTATGGAAGACAGCATGGAGTTTCCCCAAAACGTTAAAAATGGAACTCCCATTTGACCCAGTGATCCCACTTCTAGGAATACATCCCAAGAAAACAGAAACACCAATCAGAAAGGATATATGTACCCCTATGTTCATAGCAGCACAATTCATCATAGCTAAGATCTGGAAGCAGCCTAAGTGCCCATCAGTAGATGAATGGATTAGAAAACTGTGGTACATCTACACGATGGAATACTATGCTGCTGTAAAAAAGAAGGAATTCTTACCATTTGCAACAGCATGGATGGAACTGGAGAGCATTATGCTAAGTGAAATAAGCCAGTCAATGAAAGAAAAATACCACATGATCTCACTCATTTATGGATAATTAAGACCATTATAAACTGATGAGCAAAAATAGATACATTGGCAGAGCAATATCGAACAGACTGTCAAACTACAGCGGGAAGGCCGGGGAGAGTTGGGGGGCGGGGTGGGTAAGAGATCAACCGAAGGACTTGTATGCATGCATATAAGCATAACCAATGGACACAAGACACTGGGGGGTATGGGAGGCTAAGGGAAGGTCAAGGGGAGAATAAAAAAGGAGACATATATAATACTCTTTGTAATTCTTTAAGCAATAAAACAATTAAAAAAAAAAAGAAGAACATCAATTCCCAGCCGAGGGAAACCTTTGTCCCATGGATCACTGGATGGAAATCCCTGAGTATCCCAACACTGGCTTGCAGCTAAGAGGGAGCGGCTCCTTCGTGGAAAAGTCAGGGAAGCGTCCTGGAAGGAGGAATGTTTGGGGATGGGTGGTGGTTAACGTGAATGGCTGGTGTTTATTGAGCATTTTCAAGGTGCATGCACGGAGTTCCTTCTTGCAAGGTGTGTTTCGCTCTTCGAGAGGCGAGGTGGGTAGTAGTAGTGTCCCCATTTAATACATGAGGAGCAGGGGCTCAGGAGACAAAGGCCGTTCCTGAGTCAGTGAGTTGAGAGCAGAGGGGATATAGATCCTGCTCCGCTATCCATCTCTGAGGTGGGAGGCGAGGGTCTTTCAAAGCAGGTGTCCCAGTGGGTGGGGTTGTGTGGGCTAGGTCAGCGTGCACCCAGTTCTCCTCTGTACCTCACTGCATGGCACTTGTCCTTTTTGGGGGCCACCGAAGGTCACATAGGTTGGGATGTCCTTGGTGGAGGGAAAATCTGTGTTGGCCTATTGCCTTCGGGAGGCCTTGGGGCTGTGGAGTCCTCTACGCTTATCCCCCCTCTCCGTGTTGGGTGGCCACCCCAGGGCCCCAGGTGACGGCTGAGAGTCACTGAAGTGAGATTACTCCCTATGCTGAGAGTGAACAGGGCCACAAGCAGCCCCTGCAAAGAAGAAACTGTCGTGGACTTAGATGGAGCAGCCACCTCGCACCCAGTAGGTCCTCAGTAAGGGTCTGTTGACTGAAACACAAGACACTGAGTTAAGAGAAAGAATTGAGTGGTGAGATAGCAGACCTTTAGGAGGGAGGCTTTGGGAAGAAGCTGAAACCACAACAAAGCTCCTGGTTAAAAAGTTAAAATGCACTTTAAACAACTAATTGCTCAGGGTGAGAAAAGGCCAGAGTGAGCGGTTTGCTCAGTGAATGGCTTTGACTGTTCACCCTCAGATCCATCACTCTCCCTTCCCTCCTCTGCTCTGGACAGCAGGGGAGCCCACCTCCAGGCTGCATTGCCTAGGCCCATGGTCGGCAAACTGCGGCTCTTTGGCCCCTTGAGTGTGGCTCTTCCTAAGCCTTAGGAGTACCCTAATTAAGTTAATAACAATGTACCTACCTGTATAGTTTAAGTTTTAAAAATTTGTCTCTCAAAAGAAATTTCAATCATTGTACTGTTGATATTTGGCTCTGTTGACTAATGAATTTGCCGACCACTGGCCTAGGCTGTTAGCTGCCTTCTGGCTGGTTCAGCCAATAGGAGCCCACTGGAGCATGGGAAAGGGGAGAGACCAGGGTATTTCGCTCTCTCTCTAGGTGCCTTGGAAAGCCTCTGGCAGCAGCTGCACCTGCTCCCCCTGGACGGCCTTTGCCTCCGAGGGCCACCACCTCTCTCAATTGCCCCTGCAGCCCCAGGGGTGGGGATGGGGAGGGGTAACAACTTCCTGTTCTGGCTGGTCTCTGAACTGCATTGTCTGTGTGGCTTCTAAGTGACACCATCACCTGGGTACCCAATTCCCTGAATTAAATTTTTGAAATACTTAAGAGTGATTTTTGTTTTCCTGACTGATACACTCCCAGCCGTACACTACACCCACCCCCCAAGCAAGGTGACAAAATAGGGTCCATTTTCTTAGCCCAGCAAACTGCAGGTGACTGGAAGAATGTTATCAGGCTCGGAGATGCAATTATGCAAACCCCGGGGCTGGCTGCCTGACCGAGCTCTCCCTCCAAAGGCCCCAGTCGCTGCTTTCTTCTGAAGATTCCCCACCCCTACCCCTGCCTCTGCACCTTTAAAGGAAAGCAGGCAGACGTCTCAGCTGGGCTCCTTCCAGCAGTTAGAATGGGCGACCTGGTGGCTTTGCTTGGGATCTGCTCTATGTAAAGCTCTGGATTAGGGAACAGAAATAACAAAGGAGGAAAGAAAACCCCTCCAGAAACACAAACCCCAAGGTCTCTTCCTCCTTCCAGGACTGTGATTTCATTTTGATTCACATCTGTCCTTTCTCAGACTCCTTCCTGGCCGTTCCAAATGCCTGGAGCTGGGCATCGTAGCTGCAATTCCCCCCGAGCCCCAAAGAAGTGGGTGCCGTGGGGAAGTGGAGGCCACGGTCCCCTGGGGAAGAGAGGCAGAGAAGACTGAGGGCTGAGGGTACTGGCATCGCGCAGGAGGGCACATTTCTGTGGAGCGAGCCCCATGCCAAACGGCACTGGAAAGCACTTTCAACTCATGTGCCTAAAGAAAAAGATAATTAAACTCCTCTGTCTGGGGTCACCTTGCTTCCCACATCCCCTCACTTAGGATGTTTTGTTCCCACTGGAGCATGTGATTGGAAAACAAAGGTAAATGAGAGCAATTTATTCCCGGATCATTTTTTTTTCCAGCAGGATTAAAGCTGCCTCAGCCATAAAGAGTTTACAAACTCTGAAGAAAGATAATAACTTCCCTTCTCACAGCCCGGTCATGGGGAGGTAATGCATGTTTCCAATCATCTGAGAATGTAACTCAAATGGTGAGTTTTATTTCACTTTAATCCGCCTGCGAGTTCACGTTCAAGGTAAGAGGGATCGCAGCCCTGCAATGCGAACAGAGTTTATTAACTGCAGCATCGCACAGGTGGAGGAGCTGGGTGGGTTTACTCTCGCCCCAAAGCCTGGCTCCGGCTATGGGGGCCTGGCGTGGTGGTGCGCGTCCGGAGCAGGGGAATGCAGGTAGAGCTGCCACAGAGAAGAGAAGCTTGAGGGTCCTAATGGTCCTCTGTGGGAACCAGCTAACCTGATGGCAACATCAGCACCACCAGATGCCATGGACTGGGAGCCGAGGAAGAAGAGGGCACAGAGCGGAGCTGGGAATGGAGCACACGCAGTAGATACAGTGGCAGGCAGGTCTCCCAACCTGCAGCGCAGGGTGGGGGTGGGGGTGGGGGAAGCGCCTCGGTGCAGGAGGTGAGAACCTTCCATAGTGACTGGGCCCTACCTGCTTCTGCATATCTCTTTGCTGCCTGCAGCCTGGCTGCTCAGCGGGCTGCTGTAGAAAGACTTAGTTCAGTGATGGCGAACCTTTTGAGCTTGGCGTGTCAGCATTTTGAAGAACCCTAATTTAACTCTGGTGCCGTGTCACACATAGAAATTTTTTGATATTTGCAAGCATAGTAAAACAAAGATTTATATTTTTGATATTTATTTTATATATTTAAATGCCGTTTAACAAAGAAAAATCAACCAAAAAAAATGAGCTCGTGTGTCACCTCTGACACGCATGTCATAGGTTCGCCATCACTGACTTAGTTCGTAGTTCCGTCTCACTCTATGACTCGGTCACAAGGAGACCTTGAGCCAGCCCCTGGATTACATCTTGCTTTATACATGTATGAAGGGACCATCCATTTGAGGGGAAGGGGAAATGTTTGCCTACTGTGGGACTTTAAGCGCCCCTCTTTCTACAGGGAAGCTCAGTCCTCTGGGCCAGCGTTACCCTCTCCAGTCCTGTCTTTGAAAATGCAGATAGCTCTAGCAAGGCAACATCTTAGCTTCCTACAGTCACATGGAATCTCTTAAAGAGGTCTGGCCTGTGTGGGCGGGGTGTTGGTACAGGGAGGATGTTCCTGGTGTGTGTTTGGGGGAGGGGGTTGCATGGGCTGGCCTCCATTGCACTGGGTAGAGGTGAGGGCTGGGGGAGACTTGGTGAGCCACAGGCCAAGGCTCAGTCCTGCCATCCTGACTGCTTCTGCTTGCAGCCCTCCCAGGTCTCCTGGAGGCGCCTGTCTCTGTGCCTCTGTTTGGGGCAGGCAGTGCTGGCTGAGAGCTCTCCTGGTGGCATGGGGCACTGTCATATCTGTCAACCTTCCTCAGTAGTCACCACACAGAATACCAAACACGCAGAGTTCTGGTTGAGTTTGGGCTGCAGAGGCTCAAGAATGAGGCAGAAGCACCAGCCTCGTTCAGACCCAGCCTGAGAGTCTGGGCTGCCCCCTGAGGCCCAGCGCAAGTGAGAGACATTTGCCTCTCCTGTCTGCCTGAGACTTCTCGCCCTATCTGGCCCAGCTGTCCAACCTGCTTCTTGTCCGACCCTACCCTCACCTGCCCTGGGAAACCTGGAAGTTGCCTTAGCACAGCCAAGGTGACTGCTTCCCTGGCCACTATGCCTGTCTGTCTGTCTGTCTACCCTCTGCCCAGCTCCAAGGTGGCCACCGGGAACATAACAATGAACAATCCGTGGTCCTGTCTGTGTGGAGCGTGAGGTCCCACGAGAAACAGACATGGGAACCGTGGTCACAGTGTGCCAGTGCCCCACGTGGGACTGCCCGTGCTCAGCCGTGGCCTCTGCTCTAGGCCATGGCCAACACAGAGCTCTCCGGTACGTCTGCCATCACGTCCTCACGGCGCTTCTTGCCTCTCGTGTCCCCCTTGACATGCGGCCCGAGGGGATGCCGTGCCTCACAGACACTGCTGCTCTGCTCATCTGTTCACTGAGAAATCTATCCCTCCATGGCCTGCCTGGGCCCCCACTGGTCTCTTATTTGAAACGACCTACCCTCAGTGAAATAACTGCTGGGTTGAATTCTAACACAACCCCCCACCACACCGCTCATAGACTGAGTCCTGAAAGAGCCCCGTTCTCTGGGAAGCCACCTTTTCCTGAAGACCTGTGCCCTCTGGTCAGCCAAGGCTTTGATCCAGAAATGACCGAGAGCCGGGAGCGTGAGGATGAGGAGGATGACGGTGGCAAGGAATTCTCCGGCAGGCCCAGGCCCCGGCTCCCCACGCCCAGGAAGCCCTGAGCTCTGCTTGCATTCTTTTCAGAAATGCGAGCCCCCACCTTTCCAATTTCCTCTTACACCTCTTGTGTAGTTCCCGCCCCTGCCTCTGCGTGACAGCGTGGCATGCATGCAGCCCATCTGGGGATCAGGGAATCCTATTGGGTATGCCAGCTTAATGAAATACTTGCAGTTTATTAAACACAGGCTTCCCTAAGCCCCCAGTGCCTGTGGGTATTTGAAAGCCGAAGGTAACCCCCAGTTACCACAAACGTAATTGTTACATGTGTCCATGCATTCCTGCAGCAACCTCAAACTCCCGCTCTTAAGCGGCACACAAAATTAGCAACATAAAGTAACTCCTAGTCAGACAAGACCGTGAAATGTGGGGAAACGCTGCGAGGGGCTCCCAGGGCCCCTCAGGGCCTCTAAAAGTATATGAAGTTCCCATTGCCTTGCAGAGTTGGAAACGGGGAGGGCGCGCAAGCCCTCCCCGCCCCAGGCTGTTCATGTTTGCAGAATTGGTTCATTATTAGCCAGGCAGGCCTCGCTTGTCAACGTCGCATGATGTAGTTAGAATATTTCAAGTCCGGTTTCAGCCATGGTGTGCTCCCGGTGGCAGCGGGGCTAGCAGAGCGCGCCGTCTGCGGGCTCCCTCTGGAGCTGTATTTTTGTTCCTCCTCCAGTGCTTGGCTGGGGTGAGCTGTCCGCAGCCGGGGAAGGGCCATGGAGAAAGCCCAGGTGACCTGGAACCGGTGGCTCTGAACCCGGGGCAGGTGGCTCCTCGGGGATGCCTTCCCATTCATCAGTCTCCTCAGCCTGGGGCCTGTAAATCAGGGGTGAGGGGCTGATGTGGACACAGCAGACAAAGGCCTCCAGGGAGGCGCCTCCCTCTACATGGACCACCATCTGGATCCCCGCGAAGGCGACTCTGTTGACGGTGCTCAGGGGGACCTGTTCCAGGAACCTCAGCTCCAGCCCGTTGACCCACACACAGCCCCTGCGACTCAGGGCCTTGAGGCTGAAGGACAGCAGAGCACTGCCCTTCTCCCGGTAGGGCTCCAGAGACAGGTGCTGGCGGGACAGGCGGGGGAGATGCAGCTGGAGGTGGGCGTCCAGGCCTCGCCCCACTAGGAGCGGGCTGGTGTCATGCTGCAGCCTCTGTGGAACAGTGGCGAAGACAGCAGAGCCCTGGGTGGGGTGGTACAGGCTCATCCGCAGGACGGTGAGGGGTCTTTCCATGGGCGGGAGCCTGGGAAGGATGGAACACAGACACACTTATGGCTTCCTGAGCCCCGACACACTTGCCCACCTCAGGGATCCCCAGACCACCTCTAGCCAAACAGAGCCAAGCACTGGCCATGGATGCTGTTATTCTGGTCAAGCCAGGCGGGAGCCAAGGCCCACGGGTTCCAGCCACAGCTTCATTTCTCCCAGCCCCTGTGAGGCAGGCGTGCCACCTGCACTGTCTGAATTTTCATTTTCTTTTCTGTAATATAGGTATGCCTGACCTTGTCTATGCCAAGTATAAGGCACTCCAGCATGCTGGGTAGGGATCTGGTGACCTGTATTTGAGGACAGTTTGGCCCTGCTACATGGAAAGGGAAGGACAGACAGACAAGGATACACCATTCTCATTTCTGACAGTCACATGACGAACGCTTGCCAAGCCCTCCTCTCACCAGCTGCTGGGGTTAAGCAGATGTAAGAGAACAAGCCCTTGCTTTCCCTAGCATCCAGCTGGTGGGAGAGACAGGAGCTTCTAGAATTAGGCATATGGAGAGGCACAGAAGAGGGGAACCCTGCCTGCTCCGGGGAGATCAGAAAGGCTGCCTGGGGACCCGAAGGAGGAATAAAGACAGCTAGCACATTCCCATGGGAAGCCACATGCTTATGGGCCTGAACACCACCAACATCCCATCCTCACTGTCTGGGGCAGAAGGCAGATGCTGACGAGGAAGGTCTCTTGCTCAAGAACTGATCAGGGCTCCATGGAGGGCCATCGGCAATATCTGCCACAGTGTGGAACGCACACTCGGTCCCAGCAACTCCATCTCCAGTAATGTGTCCTTTAGGATCTTCGGCATATGTGGGGAGACTGCTTACAACGGTCAGCTTTGTTCACGCATGGATTTGAGGAATACAAACTCTACCACAGCCATCAACCCCATGAGGCCTGGGACCTGCCCCCCACCTTCAATAGAAACCAACCTTCGACAGGGCTGAGTGGATTTGAACAAAGGATTGTACACTTTCCTGGCACCAGGCTTTTGCTTACACAGTTTGTATCCAGATACTGCTCTTTACAGGCCTGGTTCAAATGTGAGCTCTTCTGGGACACTCTTCCCCTTTCTGCCCTCTGACCCCCACACAGGAAGATTCCCCGCACCTGGGGCACCTGGCGACCCCCACGCAGTCCATCTTTGCATGACATGTCAGGGTTCTGTGGGCCCTTGTCTGTCCTGCCGGAGCGCCTCTCCTCCTGTCTCTCCGAGGCCTCCCAAGGGCAGGGTGTGGTCTGAGCTGCCGCACTGCCTTGTGTTCCACTGCCCAGGGCAGACAGGCCTGGCCACAGCAAGTATCTGGAGGCGCATTTGCCAAATGTCTGAATGAGGAGAAGTCCACACACATGAAATCAAGTTTAGATAAACCTCAGATTGGACTCTGGTCGTTAAAGGCTGTGAGACAGGGCGCCTGTCACATGTGGTACAGGCTCAGTGTCCCTCTGAGTCCTCGACCATCTGCCCCTCCTGCCTATTGGATGAACCTGGCTAATGGTGAGGATCACTTTCCAGTCTCTTGAGGGGCCCACCTCTCTTTTTTCTAACACACACGTTTACACAAATACATGCTTCCACCCACATCCACCTGAGGGGTGTGACGTAAGCCGGGTCCAGGACAGCTAGGTTTGGCAGCCAGGTCATCAGGCCTAGCCAGAACTCAGAGTTCACTTGTAGGAACAATTCCCACGGCTTGGGGACCCTAAGAGAATCCCTCAGAAAGAAGACTTCACCACTGCTCCTGTGACTCCAGAGCTGACAGAAACCCTGGCCGGAGCAGCTGAGACTCGTTTCTCCAGGACCCTAGCTGTTCTGGGGAAGCAGAAGCGCAGCCCTGCCAACGCCGCCCCGGGAACTCCGGGAGGAAGACACTCTGGGGTGTGTGCCTGACAAGAAACCAACAGGGCCCTGCTTCAGCCCCACCAGGCCTCCTCCCCTCACTGCGGGTTCAAATCCTCTACCCTCCACCTACCTTAACTCCAAGGGCACATCTGGCTCTGGCGCTTTTGCTGTGAGCTCTCAGGAGGAAGTGAGTCCCAGGCCCTCCTAAGGATGACATTTACGGCCACAGTTCAGGGTTGTGATGTGTCAGAATGCTCATCAGTTTTTTTTGTTTTCTTTCTTTTTCCTTTTAGGACAGAAAAGGGAAGTGTGAATTCCTATTGCAGAAGTGCAATCCATGGCTGAGAAGTTGAGAAACCCCAGCCGAGGCCCCCAGCTAGGAGATGCCCCTAGTCAATGGGCTCCCTCGTGGGATTCAGCTTGGCCGGTTTCTATGGCCCCGTCCATAGGGACCCTGGGAGCTGTGTCCAGGGTATTAGCCATGTCCTTCTTCTTCCCTGCCAGTCGAGTGGGGGAAAGCACTTCAGGCTTGTTAGAAAGGGGAGCCTCTTTGGAAAGAGCGTCAGTGGAGGGGGCCCCACTGCATGTGGAAGATTGTGAAGAGAGAACTAAGACTTGGCTTGCGGGACCTGTGAGCAATATGGAAGTCCCCTGAGATCTCAAGAAATGGCCGAACCTCGGGAAAGGAGAAAAAGGCCACTCACACAGGATGGCCTCTCTCGCAGGAGGACAGCAAGAAAGCCACCTTCTCTATTCACTCCTCCTGGGCTCTGCTGGGCTTCAAGGGCCATCTGAAGATGGTGCTTGCTCAGCACTACGGATTCTGCCTGTTCTAGAAGTGACCCAGTGTCACGGTGGTGCTAATTCTTCACCTGACACAGCTATTCATAATTCGCCGGTGTGTTCACATTGCCTCCATGGTACCCACCAACATGCCAAGCTGGCAATGGATGTGTGCTCATCTCATACGGGAGGCAACTAAGGCCCTAAGAGGGATAGTGTCTGGCCCAAGGCCCCAGAATGAGCTAGCAGCATAATCCTTTCCCTTTTTCCCATCACACCCTATCCTGGGGACTCTAGGAGGGTATACAGGGGAGTGGTGCAGGCCAGGCCACCGCTATCAACCAGCAGGTGCCTCCCTGCTCTGCCTCACTGCTCCCAGGCCCACTGCTCACTCACTGCTCATGGGTGACCCTTGAGGTCCCAGAGGTCTTGGCAGGCCACACCCCAGGGAACAATTGAATTTAGGTCCCTCTGGGAGCTATTCAGGGCTCATGGCCTGCTTCCTCTATTCTGGTTGCTTAGTAACTAAGAAGGAAAAACAGAGAATGCAGAAAACAGTTACCTGTCCCTGCCTGCCCCAACCAGTATGACACCACCACCAAGGGTCTCCCAGGGAACCAGCTCCCCAGAGATGGGAACTATATCTGCCCTTGGAGCAAACCAAGCATTAACCCCAAACTGGAAATAACACAAATGTCCATTAACAGGGAAATGAATAAACAAATTGTATAGCGTGTACATTGAAATGCTACACAGCAATAAAAAGATAATGAACTAATGATGCATGCACAGTGTAGATGAAGCTCAAAACCATATGCAGAGCAAAAGAAGCCAGGCACAAATGCCATAGATGGATGATTCCATTTCTATGGAACACAAGAACAGGCAAAACTAGCCTATGGCAACAGGTCAGAATATTCAATTGTGTCTGTAGAGATGTACCAACTGGCGTATTGGTTTCTTGGGGCTGTCATAACAAAGTACCACAAATTGGGCGGCTTAAACAACAGAAATGTATTGTCTGGCAGTCCTGGAGGCTAGATGTCCAAGCTTGTTTGGACTTGGAGTTGTTTCCTTCAGAGGGCTGCGTGAGAATCTGCTCCAGGCCTCCCACAGCTTCTGGTGGTCTGCTGGCAATCTTTGGCCTTCTTTGGCTTATGGATGCATGACCCTGAGCTCTGCCTTCATCCATGGCATTCTCCCTCCAGGCAGTGGCTCTAATCGCAGCATTTCAGGCATGCTTTTTGGCCTGTGAGGGAGCCATGTGCAGTCTGGGCAGCGAAGCTAGAGCCCATGATCTTGCCAGTACCACCCCCCTCTCAGTAGAGGCAGCTGTACCTCCCTGATGGGTAGATAGATAAACAGAAGCTCATACGGCCACTTTGAAGAGCTTCAAGGGCTGTGAATGCACATGGGACTGAGCCTACAGAGTGGAAGGTGGTGGGCCATGCTCCACAGCCTGTCCTCTTTGCCCATCGGTCTCCCTAGCCCAGACTGCCTGGCCAACTGAATGTCTCTGGACCGTGGGAAAGGGCCTCCTCCTCATTACCTTCCAGTCTCGATAATACTCAGATACTCCTGCCCACCAGAAGAGCAGGGCAGTGGGCGCCAGGCAGAAGCCTGGCAAGGAGCTTTGCTCCTGCTACGTGTGTGACCTCCGGTTAGTCCTGTCCCTCTCTGGGCCTTACTTGTCCACCTTTGGGATGGGACACCTCCCCACTGTTCCCTGCAATGGTAAGAGGAGGGCTATGTCCGTACCCCTGGCATAAGAGAGCGGGCGGGCAGAAAAAGTGTGTTCATGGCTCCTGTGTAACTTGGTTCAGAGCAGTTCCCAGCGAGAGAGAGAACTGAAACTTCCAGGGAATTCATCTGGCAAGAGGAAGCCCTGCCCAGGCTGCATCTTCCAAAGGCCAGTAGGAAGTAGAACAAAAGCAGGGGAAGCGGAGGTGCTAGTTTTGCTCTGCTTGTCCCCCTTGGCTAGGATGACCTCCTCCAGTTGGTGTTGGGACCCTGGGACGCATACATCAGCGAGCAGATGTGCCCTGTCATGTGCTCCTTGGAGAATTCAGGGACAGAACAACAGCTTCCGGGGCTTTCTACAGGGGTGGGCAGGCAGGGTCTCTGGTGTCAGAGAGACGTGGGTCTGGAGGCTTGTGTGACCTCAATAACTTACTCAGCCTCTCTGAACCTGATCCCTGCTCTGGAAAATGAGGGTAATTTGTTGAGGGCTGAATGAGATAAATGCCAAGTGCCAAGATAAATGAGACCTATTCTTGGCTGAACCCTTACCAGCAGAATAGAGTCAAGAGGCATCCTGAAGAGAGGGGCTGGCAGAGCAAACTAGCAGCCTGCACAAACCCCAAGTTCTCGGAAGGCTCCAGGTGTTGCTGAAAATAAACATAATTTTGGAGTTGAATACATAATTTGCATGAGTCTAACATAAATTCCCTTGTTAACAATAATGAGATCAGAAGGATACTCAAGGTTATTGTTCGGGAATGTGGTCCTAACACAGGAGGGGAAGGCTACTCACTTTACAGATGAGGAAGCTGAAACTCACAGTGATTAGTTGACTAGACCTAGGTCACATGTTTGGAAGGTGTCAAAAGCAGGACTTGGGTCCAGTCTGTGGGATTCTTGGACTTACCCATGAAGCTGTCGTGACGGATGGATGGTGCTCTCGTGAGTCCAGCTGCTCCACCTTCTCCAAACATCTGTTACAGCTGGCTGCTGGCAGTACACTAGGCAGAGAGGGACCCTGCTTCCAACCCGCCCAGCCAGAATGTATACTACCTCTCCCCTACGTTCTTCTAGCCCTCGGCCACCAGGTGGCAGCATCCCTAAACCCAGTGGTCTGCTCTTCAAGGTGCTAGGTGAGGACAGGAAAAGTCATGGGGCTGCTGGGGAGGAGAGCATGAGGAAGGCCAAGTGATCAGAGTGGGATGGGGACAGGGTTCTTGCTTCTCCAACTCAAATGCCCTAAGATGGCCCAATGTGAATCCAGAGCAAAACTCACCAGAGGATGCCAACTCATTGAGCATGGAGATAAAGCAGGAAGTCAGAGCCTGAGGCCATGGGGGCAGCAGTTCCACGCACAGGTGAGCTCAGAAAGGTTAAATAACCCACTCAGGACTCAGAGTAATTGCACAGCACAGCCAGGATAAGAAGCCAGGTTTGCTCCCTTCTCTATAAAATGGAGTGACAAAGATCCGCTTTAGGGAGGGGCCGCCAAGCGAGGACATGCACGCAAAGCACTTAGCCTAGGCCAGGACCTCATGTGTAGTTAGTGCTCAGAATATGGATGGAGTGTTTGTCATTATGATCATCAGGACAGAGTTCTCCCTGTTCCTACTGGGCTCTCAGGTAAGAAAAGGATCACCTGTAACTTGTGGAGATGGGTGCTGTGAGGGAGGATGCACAGGACCTTGACCTCCAGGAAGGGCACCTAACCCCCCAGGGATGGAGAGGGCTCCCGGGTAGGCCTCCTGGAGGAGGAGGCCACTTGTGCTGACTGCTGCAGGATGGTTAGGAGTTGGCCAGGTGGAGACTGATTGTATGTGGGAAGGTACCTGGTGGAGGGAGGAGGGAGTCAGGTCCCCATATTCTGGAAATGGCTCTGCCTCACCTGCTCTATAAGCTAATAAGAATGATAACAACAGGAGTGGTGCTTGAATTTCAAAACAATAACATTACCTTTTATTGAGTCCTTATGTGAATTGTCTTATTTAATCCTCTCTGCAACTCCGAGATAAGTCCCAGTACTAATCCTATTTCACAAATGAGAAAACTGAAGTACGATTAAGTAACTACTCAAGACCACCCACATACTATGTACAGGGTTATATCTCAAACCCAGCTCTGATCTTGAAATCCTTACCCTCTTCTTCTGTGCCCTCCAAGGGCTGGGCTGGGGTGATCTCTCAGGTGGGAAGCAAGTGGCTATGGGGGGGGGGGGGTTCTGATTGCTTAATCCTGTGGCGTTCCTCCCAGAATGCTGGCTGGCCTCCTTGCAGAGGTGGGCTGGCCATTATGGCCTGGGTGGCCTCCATCTGCTGAGCAGCAAGAAATGCTGAGAGGAGGTCACATCCACTTTGCTGCCATTCTGACCATCCTCCCTCCCCTATTCCAGGGGTCCTTGCGAAGCCCAATTTCATTATTATTCTAAATTCTTAATATATGTCAATTTCACTAAATGCTAAATCCAATAATGCCTGGATCCCTGACTAATTAATGCCTGGAGTGCCTGGAAATTCTGGGGGCCTTCCTGGCTCTTACCTTGGGGTGGGGTCATCAGGCCACAGGGAGCCAGTGCCCATAAGCCCAACAATCAGCTCACACTTTTGACCTCTTTTTTATCTACTGAACTAAAGGGCTGTCCTTTAGGCTGCTCCCCTGGCCTGCGTGCTGTCCCCTCTATCTTCACTGACTGCATCCAGAGCTGCAGAGGGCCAGAGGGCAGGGAGCCTTCATGGGGAGTCCAGCCTTAGCTCCACCACGGACATACTTCACAGTAAGTTGCTTCTCCTCTCTGGGCCTCAGTGTCCTCATCTGTAGAATGGGTAATCATGTCTGCCAACCCCCGACCTCATCCCC